TGCATATTCTTGATCCTTTATTTTGTCATGAGAATCTGTAAAAACATATGGTTAGTGATCTTTATATTTCCTTTAATAATGTGACAAAAAAGAAGAAGATAAAACTCCTTAGAGGTATCATTCTGGACAATATTATTAAATAAACAATATGTCTAGGACCTAGAAGAAAGACTAATAGAGATCCACATTCGGCCATGAAGCAGAAGTGAATGTTTGATTCTATAAATTAGGTTTTCCAAAAGATTAAGTTGGGTTAACGTCCTGCTTTTAAAAGATGATTAACACAACTTTAAGTATTTTGTTAGAAATGTTGAAAACTGTTATAGTACAGAGCTGAATAATCATTTGAAATAAAAGAAGACAGAAACTTCAAAAAACACAACTATATTCTACATCAGTAAACACAATGTTCATTCAAATACTTCTGTTTTTGTCAAGCAAGCTTTTTCTTCCATGTTCCCTCATTTGGAACATTTGATAAAAATGCATTTTGTAATTAAACTGATCATATTGTTGCTTGCGTTTTTTTAATAACAATAATATCAGGAGCTAAATAGCTTGAATGCAGCAAATGTAACAATAGAAGAGTGATTATGCAAACAATAAATAATGTAAGAGAGAGCTTCATCATTATCAATCCCTCCAAAATAAAATTATGTGCTTTTAATAACTGTCATTTCTGTGAAAAGAAACAACAGAGAGAGTATAGGAGATGAATAGCAGGAGTAAATCAATGTAATGCATTTGAGAGCAAAAGGAAATAGTAGGGTGGTCATCATATATGCATGCAGCCTAAGTCAGTAGATGCTTAAAAAGGAAAGTTTTACAACTAATTTGAAAGGTAGAATGAGATCTGCCATTCACAAACATTTGGCTTTACCAGGTAACCAGAAGGTCTCTCTCCCGTACCACTTTTAGACCCTCAAAAAACCTCCAGGAACCCTACATAAGAACACACTGCTCTGTTAAAAACGTAAAGATCAGCCCTAAAATATAAAGGATGGCTTTATGGGTAGTGCTTCATGGTGTTGCAGTGGGTAGCACTACTGTCTTGCAACAAGAAGGATCTGAGTTCGATTCCTGGCCCGGAGTCTTTCTGCATGGACGCACTAGCCTCACTGCGATGCTGACAAAACTAAGTGGGAGAAAATGGATGGATGAAGGGCTTTATGAGGAGAATTGTTGATTCTAACCTGGACATAAGAGCAAGACACAGTTTGCAACTTAGTCATGACTACATTGCAAAATGAGTTTGAATTCTTTGTTTGTTTTATTGCATATATTCATGGAACATCGATGTACGGAAAACAATCAGCATCAAGATTCGAGCCTGAACATGAAATCAGCCAAACATTCTGGTTTAGGAATGTTTTTAGAAACTAAGCTGTTTTACAAACAAAGCCCAAAAAGATATGGCAGAGTTGGTCCTCAATAATGGTGGCACACTCAGCACTCAGAAAATCCAAACACTCCAGATGATAAACAGGTTGTTGCATGTTCCTCAGCACCAGTCTGCTTCATAAATCAAATTCAAAATAGTATCCAAAAACCTCCACACTCAATCTTATTTAAATGAGTATTTATAAAACCATATGTCAGTGAAAATATGTGTCCGATAGGAAACACAGAAAATAAGAATCATAGTCGTTATGCTGAGATTACTTTAGTTGTCAGTCATGAAATTGTGTATGTTAAAAAGGTTTTTGAGCTGCAGATAATAAATCAAAAAGATGCATTTGATAGACCAACAGCACCATAGAATCGAATGAATTCCCTTGATTTGATTTATTGCCTTCAGCTCAGTCACATATCCAATTAAAATTATGATCTAAGTGAGAATTAATTTCTCCCAACAAAAGAGCAAATATTTCCAGCCGTCCCAGACTAGAGTGAAAAATGAAGAGTAGAAAAGAACTCAGACTTCATTGCTAAACAGGCGTGCAAAATAGTCATCAAATATCTTGTTTTGTGTCTTTGACCTGTTCACTGGACCTGTAATTAATAAGTGAAATACTAAAGATATTTTTCCAGTCCAGTCCCCCAAAGCCCAGAAACCCAGTCCTCCTCCTCCTGCTGCTCTCCCATCATTTTCAGACTTCGCTCACCATTATTAAGTCCCAGCGGTGGGCTGTAACAACATGCTGCCTGCCTCGATATGCTGTTCCTCTACCGACACCAATATTTCCCAACTTCCCACACAAGGACTCTTGAACATGTATACTTCTCGATTTACAACTGAACTGTGTTAATGCCAAGCACAGCAGCTCAGTCTTTCCAGTTGTCACTTTTTTTCAGGCACTTCACTGAAAAAGCAGGAGGACTAAGAATAGCCTGTTTGTCTGTCGGTTCATTCTTCATCTATGTAATGTAGCTATGTCAAACGATTAAAACGCATTTAGAGTATTAGACTTTATAACATAATTTTAGCTTAGAGTGTGTTTTTTTTTAGTTAACCCTTTAAAGCCCGATCCAAGAATAAAACAAAACCGAAAATTACTTTTTTTTCTTTGTTTGAAGTCCTTATTTGGCCTTTTAACAAAATATGTAAAAAGAAAAAACAGAAATACATCTTTGATATTGATAATTTATTACTATGCGATAAGTCAAAATTATTTTTTGTGTAGTCTTCTTCCCTCTGTTATCAGTTATATCTGATTGTGTACAATGGGATTTTGAGCAAAGTTTTTACCATTAAATTATGCAAAAGGTGTCGGAACACAAAACATTTCAGAAACCGTATGTATCAAATATGATACATTTGGCATTACAGGGTTAAGAATGGCATCCATCATGTTTGAAACATGGATTTGGTTGCTTTGTCATATCTTTTGCTCATTTCTTCTTTAAACACCTTTTATGATCTGTTGTTTAATTTCCTGAACATTTACAGATAAGACATAGAAAATGTATTGTAGTTACCAGCAACATAAGTATAAATTGCATTGTTTTTAATACATGTCTCAGTGAAAAGCAAAGCTCTTCAGGGAATTCCTCTTCCGTCTTTCATACAACATCATAATCTCATTCTGAACATTTTGTCCCAATGTTTAATTTAGAGAAGTTTTCTGCTTTAAAATTACTTTTTATTAGTATTATTAAGCTAGTTTGTACTCCTGTTTGCAGATTCTGAATTTTACCAACGCAACAGCACCAGGTCTTCTAAAACACCTAGTTTTCTTAAGAAATTCCCAATGTTAGAACATGCATCTGGAGCATCAAGCTTGATCCTCCAGAGTACAGGAGCCGCTTGCTCTCATCCTACAGATTTTCTGTTAGATTTAGACAATGGACGAATCTTCCCTTTTTTTCTAATTAAACATGTGTGTCTTTTGTCCACATAATTTGTACCATATTCCTGCTGAGACACCCAGTTGCTAAAGTTTATTATTTGATAGACAAAGTCCACATAATTCTTATCTAAAACATCTTTGTATTCCGACACTCAATCCAACAAGGTTCTTGTGCATTTAGAGAGAAACAAGCCCACAGCATCAAAGCCCCTCCGCTTTTTTCTTCTGGTCCTGCTAAAGTGGAGCATCTGTGTCGCTGTGGGCCTATTCTAAGAAAATCCTTCATCTGACTATCTAAGTATGAACTTTATGTGCTCTTGCATTTGGGTTAGATATTGTTTTTATGCACGTTCTTTCTCTGTAGATTTAGACATAAATATTATTGTCTTTTTAATGTCTTCTCAACCAATTTCTGCTCAATGGGAACCCCCTCCTGTTAATTCTTTACTTTTTTTTTATAGCCTAAAGTTGTCCCTGTACCAGTAAGCAGTGGCGGTTCCAGAAAATGTTCACAGGGGTGGCCAGGCAGGGACCAATATGCACTGAGGGGTGGCTCAAAACCAATAGGCACCGAAATCAGTTCTGGGTCAACCTATACTTATCACAATGAACCTACATATATATTTTAAAAATAGATTGACTGATAGATTTTTTATTTATTTTTTTTGCTATTGCTAATAAAGCTTTGCACATATTTATAAATTGGTGCTGTTTAAAATGATTTATGGTTCTACATAATATATAAATTAATTGGGCTGAGCAGTTGATTTTTATCTATAATTACACAGAAGACTCCTAATTAGTTATGGAGATAAACTCTACTCCATAAAATATTTAAAAAAAAAAAAATAATAAAATGGCATGAATTCCATATTCGTCCTCTTGAATTGTAGTATATTGTTGTAAATAATCCATTGCTATTTTTTGTCACTTTTTGGGTGAAAGGGGGGCATGGCCCTTCTGGCCCACCATTTAGATCCACCCCTGCCAGTAGGTGTTTTTTTGTGTATGTGTTTTTGGTCTTCATATAGCTTTGTGTGGGTATATAATTAGCCTGTGATGATGTCACATCTCTAATATAGAGTAAAAATAAATACATGTATTACAGACTAGTTATCTGTTATACATGTAAATTCTGATCAACCCAAAAGGAAGAAATAGTTTTGAAAATTCTTTGTTTATTCAAAGAGATTGTTAAGGGATTCACTATTGCTTTAGTCAAACCTGTACTTCTTTTAAGAATAACAATTTTTATTCCCTTCTCTAGATAAAAACAGCAAATGAAAAAAAATATTACATAACTAATTTGTATACCCTTATTAAACGTCTCCACCAGAGAAGCCAAAAAACATAACTTGCACACAATGTCAGTGTTAAATGTTTTTTTTTTTCCATAAAATAATTAATTTTACAAAATAATTAACACAAAATAAATACAGGTGAGAAAAGACTTGAGTGTTTATAAGACATTTTTTTACAAGTTATGTGTAAATAGTTTTTGTCCCCTGCTAAGGGAATATCCTGATTAGTAATCACTACCATATTTCACAGAATATTAAAAGTTGCCTTGCTCCTCCTATAGAAGCTCAATGAATACAGTTATCTGACCAAGCAAGGGTTAATTTGAGCAGCACTGTGTTCCCTCCTCCTCAGTTGACTCTTGGCTCACACAGTCTCACACACACACCTACAAACTTTCGCCAGTGAGGCCAACAGAGAGACAGAGGAGGCAACGAACCACATGCTGTTCACTCAGAACAGGGTCTTCTCTCCTTCTTTTTAACTCCTGTTGGATCTGCTCTGGCCTCATCACTCCATGGGACTCCAGAGCTGGCCAAGAAGAAAACAAGATCTGTCCTCCATGGCTTGCCTGGATGTGGAGAGCCCCTCCATTTGCAGGGGTAAATTCAAATCAGGTGCTTTTTCTTCCTTATCACATCCCATTTTATTATTGAAATAATGCATACATTGGGTTAGTAAAATTATTGTTTAAAATGGCTGATCTAGAACCAACATAAAGAAAAAACATTAACGTGTGTGTACAGTTCGCTGCTTGCAAATTAAGTGCAACTGCCAGATATAGAGCATATCAAGGTTCTGCTCAATATTTGCATATCTTTAATCTTTCCTCTTTAAATTCATAAGCTGCTGAGGACTTTGCCACAAAAAAGCCTAGAGCAAAAATACAAACTATAGCAGACTGATAACCAATCTATATTTTCTATGGAACCTCTCAGTGCCATTCAAATACCTGCACACACTTCTTGAAAGTCTTTCAGAGCCCATCTTTTAATGAAATAAATATGCTGCAGTTACAACCTATTTTTAGCTATATTCAGCAGTTTGTTTTCAGCTGTTGCTTTTTTATAGTGCTCTATAAATAAAGATGATGATGATTATCATGCATATAGTATTTACTATTTTACTTAGTACATATGTTATATATATATATATATACTAAAATGTTCCCTCATGTCTTGGTGCAGTAAAAAGTAATCTTTCACCTGAATAACATGACTTTTTAGTTTTTGTTACACATTGATGCTAGTATTACATTCAACAGCAAATTAAGAAATGATGACTCAGGGGACACTTAAATTAATATAATTTACATATATGAATCAACATTTAGGAGGTATGTATTATTATGTTTATTGAACATTAAAAGTAAATGCTAAACAAATGGATTCCTATCTAATTACTTGAAATGTATGTGTAGTAAAATGGACTCTACTGCATATTTTTACTTTCCTCTTTCAATGCAATGTGGCTTTTATAGTGAACAGCTATTCAAAACCTACTACTTGAGCTTGCAAATAAGCAACTTCAGGCGACTGTAGTGCTGTGGTTAGAGACCCTTTTTATTTTAACACCTATATTCGCTTCCAGTCATTAAATCATTGTTCGATACATTTTTTTCTACAGCCATAAACCCAACTTGAGCCAAAAAACACAAATCGTAAACATGCCATATAGTACTATTAATAGTATATAGTAATTAATGACCCTTTGTATTGTCTTTGTTTCTAGAGAATTAAGAACAGTGTCTAGCCCATATATCTCATACGCCATAAAAGAGTTAAAAAAAAGCTTTAAAAAAATTCCAAGAAAAAAAGTCACAATATTAAAATGAGTCCTTCCTGTCAGATATAACATGTTGCACCTTTTTTTTCTAAAGTTATTTAAAGCCAGAGAGGAGGGGCCAAATAACCTCAGAAAGGCCAACCAACTTGGCCTTATCTCACAAGTCATCTGAATCAATGTTTGCACCATCAATTTACAACTAAGGACAAATATAGGTATAAAAACTAAAGGCCTGATTTCATTTTGAGAGAAAATTCAATTAGAAGTTAACATTAGGTTTGTGACTCTGAGGAGTTTATTGATAATACTCAACACATTTTTATTTTGATTGTCTACAAATCTCCTATTCGCAAGGTGAAAAAACAAAAAAATAAGATGTTTATTTTTTTATGCATAAACATTATTGAACACACTGAGAATAAAAAGCCCTAATCAGCATATTAAGTAAGGTCTGTTACATCTATATGAAGTCTGCCCAAACTACATCTTAACAGCGAAAATTATCTATTAATTTATGCTTATATGATCATAAATACCATAACATTTACAAATAACATTCCATTGTGGTTACAACAGCAAAGTTTTCATACTTTTAGCCATTTTAGACATTTACTTAGATGTTTGTTTGTGCAGTTCATGGGGAAAAAAACAGTCAAATTAAAGAAAGAGGCTGACGACAGACCTCTAGGGGTGATTTGCTGAGAACAACATGGGTCTGAGATTAGAGATTACATCAGCAGACAAGGATTCCAGCAGAGCCCCCCCTCTGTGTTTCTTTATAACCTCTGTTTATGCTTTACTGGTGAGCAGGAGCCAGTTTGCATCACATAAAGGTTAGCTAGGGTTCAAGCTCAACACAAGATGACACAATGAGGAGGACCGCGGGCGTGAGCTGTACCCTTATAGTGATGCTCAAATTAAAGCCAGCTCTCTTCATACTGCTTGGAGGCAGCTTTTCCATGCTATTGATATGCAGTTGTACAGTAATAAAAAAGTTTTCCTCTGGCATCTTTTTAAGTAACAAATATTGAAAGAAACCAATATAGATTTTTTTTCTTTCAGACTGCTGGATATAAACCGCGTTGGTCTTGGTTTGTAATAGAAAACACAACAGGCAGAGAAGGAACAGAGTTTTCTCTGTTCTGGAGATGAAGTGCTGCTGTGAGAGTGGACTCGGCCTTCCACCCTTTGCCTCAGCTCTTGTCAATCTCCATTCCCTTGTCCACCAGTTGAAGCCCATGAACATCCCCCTCGGCTCTACAATAAACCAGCGATCCCACCCTCATAACTACCCCGAAAAAATGTCACGGTTCCCAGGCCTTGTTCTCACAGCTGCCTGATTTATTTTTGCTCAAATGAGTCACAGAGTCCTGTTCGGACCCAACGTCTTTCCCAGGGGAGTTGAGCAGGTCCGTGTTTTGTGTGTTTGTGTATGAGGGGGGACTGTTTCTCCCAAGCCACTGAGCAAATCCGGCTAAGCTGGCTTTGCTTCACCACAGAGTATGACGATAAGGGCCTTGGCCTCATGCGTCACCATCACCCCCTAACCTTCTCGTCAAATTTTTTCTCTCTCTCTTTCTGTGATTTACTCTATTGGAGAAACAAGTCCACACTAACTTGTTTGTAAATATTTAAACCAGGATCCTACTACAGTTTACATTTTTGGGAAATGAAAACAGACGGTGCATCCTCAAACTTTATACAGATAGATCTAAAATTTAAGACTTTCTCCTGGAGGATATTTCATTCAATCACCAAAAATCTTTCATTAAACCACAGAACTTTCCAAAAAATCCTGCAGCCCTGAAGTTTTACCCTATTTTAATTGTTTCTGCATTTCATTTGCAGAACACACTCAACACTGTCTCTTTAGGGGGGGCTCTAAGCCAAGACCATACAGGAACTAAGCCGCATATCTGTGGTTATAAGCAAAGTTTGGTGCTAGGCTTTCATGGTAACACACTGATTGAAAAATAATAACCATCTCTGTGTTATTTGAAGGCCAGCAGGTTTCACAGATGGTTGTTATATGAGTCAAAGTTGTTTCTAAACAGTAAATGTTTAACCTCTGCATTCTTCACTCTTGCAGTCCTTCAACAATGTCTGCAGCAGAGGAGGACAAGGGAGCAGCTTGTGGAGCAAGGCATAATGCCACGTGAGTATCCCATCTTATTCTACATCTTATAAACTCCTCAAAAAGGGGGGGTGGGGGGTGGCTTAGACAGCAATAAAAAAGCGAAGTCCCTAAAAATGATTGAAATACACCTTTAACTGTTTAAATGAGGAAACAGTATTTGCTGCTGTGTACTCTATTGTAACAGATGGGTTTAGATATAGAAATCTATTAACAGCTTAAGTCTTATGAACAGTGATAATAGTCACATCACTATTCTGATAATGATGACTGACTTCTATACCTGAAAGAACAAATCAACTCTCAACTGCATTTGCTCTTGTGACCAAAGAGGCAGTGGGGTCTCTTTGAGTGGGAGGATATTTAGTTTTTTTGAGTACAGTCAGTTCAAGAGAAGCTGGAACTGTGACTTCCCTCCTGATATATGGAGCGTTAGGGCAGGATGGAAGACATCCAGTCTTCCTGTCTTCCTGCTCTGTTTGGAGAACCTTTGCCTGCCCCTCTCTGACTCCACTACCCCACATGAATCAGCAATGAGACTTTTAGGAGAGTGACTTTTCCTCTTCTTAGATGTAGTTAAGTTTAAGGGATGCACATCTCAGATTCAACTCTTTTCACACTTTGTTAACTCCATTAAGTCTTAAAAAAAAATGGTGGATGCTTTCTGTTTATGCTGACCATTAAAAGCACTTTTACTCTGTGAGTCTCACTCAACAAGCTACTGTTTGTATTAAAAAACACATATAATCTTTGTGCAACACGATTTAGGAATAAGAAATTTGCTTAAGGGAACATTGACATGCTGGGAGAGAATAAATGTACAGTACTGTATATGTAACTTTCTAGTTTTAACTTCTAATGGTACTGATCAGTTTGATTGAAACTGGTCAAAGTGTTGCTGTAGTCATTTAATGTAATCTTATTTATTTTTACTACAGACTTCTTTGCTTTAACATTTATAATATTCTTCATAATAAATAATGTATGAAGGTGAAAGTAATAAGCAGGAATGTTTTTACTGTACTTTTCTGAGACATTCCTTGGAGTCCTTTTGATCAGTACATCATTAAACCAAACAATGGCCGTCGTTTCAGAGGTGACTAGTCGGTGACCCAGACCTCTTCTACAGAAGGATGAGTTTATTCTGAGCGATCAAAAAGCAACTCCCTGCTCAGAGTGATCGCTTTGTTTGAGTCAGTAAAGCTGGCACTTCCTGTTTCACTCCCACGAGCTCTGCTAACTGAGGACATGGTCACGCAGAGTAGCAGAGACAAGAACATAAATGTAAGCATGGGAAAAAGAAATAACGCCACAGTTGCTGATCAAGCCAACAAATGTTGGCATGAATTTAATCACCTGTTTTATAATTATATAATTTATATTTTCTACATTCAATCAACTTTTAAAGCCTGAAAACATCCAACTTGTTTTGTAACTTTCTTTCTGTTGGAACACAACAAACATTTTGAGCTTCCTATTTAGGGAGAGTAAATACCTTATCAGGCTGAAATCAGAAGCATGTAAATATTTTGTGTTTTCATGTTTATGCTTATTTGATTTTTTTTTCTAGCTCTAAAAAGCCCTGTTGCCTTCCAGAAGCAGATCCGAAGCCTACAGAGAGCCAGAGTATGACTCTACGTTATCTTTAACATGAATATGTTCATTTGTGACTTTAATAATGATCAAAAAATATTTAAACAAATACTTTCATGTCTGTTTTTATCAGACAGGGAATTTCCTAAAGCATAAACTCTGCAGCAGACCGGAACGCTCAGAACTGATCCGTATGCATATCCTAGAAGGTAATCCCTTTTCGTGTGTGTTTGGGTGATAGTGTTTGGATAAGCAGAATGAGTAAGGTTGCTATTCATCTGTCTGCAGATATTACTGCTTGTTCAACAACCATACGTCTATGTGAATGTTATTTTGCGGTAGACTGTGTGAGAGGTCCGACTGAGCCTTCATTGAGTCACAATGACAAATCAGTCTGACTGAGGAGCTGGATCATAGTCGCGCATCCTCTTTTTATTCATCAGAAACTCCGGCAGAGCCCTCCCTCCAGGCCACACAGATTAAACTAAAGAGGGCAAGACTGGCCAATGATCTAAATAAGAAAATCAGCCAGCGACCTGGACCCATGGAGCTGGTGAAGAAGATCCTGCCAATAGACCCTGAAGTTAAAGAACTAATAAACAGTAAGCGTAAGCAAACATTACTCACAAAGGGACGAAACGTGTTGCGTCATTATTATCATAAAAAGGCTTTCATCCACCTGCGGTCTAAGCCTTAAATATGTCTCTATGTATGTTTAATTGTCTCAACAACCACTGCAGTTCTACAGCTGAAGTGGCTTTATTCCTTAATAAACCTCTTTGCTTACCTTGCAGATGGTAAGGCGGATTACTCAGACACACCACATGTTCCAGATGTTTATAGCTTTGATGAGGACAGCAGTGATGCATTATCATCACAGCAGCCCGACAGTCAACCATCTCCTCCCCAAACGTTGCCCTCCCCAAAGGAATCAAGAGGAGCTGAGGTTTCAAATGCATCCTCTGACCGCAGCCCTTCTCTGCAGGTACAAAATACATTTATTCAGCTCTGTGATCGAACATGATTGTATTTCCTAGTCAATAGGGAAACCAACTAAATTTAGAAGTTTTATTAAAGGAGCAGTGATTAAATTGCTGTGGTTCAAAGCTGCTCAAAATAGCTACCATTTTAATTCTGTCCCAATTTGTCATTGTTAAACATAGATATCATTATACAGAGTTTTTTATTTTTTTTTTTTACTTTGTTCCAACCCATTCAAAGAACAGTTGACATGTAAAAACAATGCTCTGGTCAGAGGAGACACAAACTGAGCTTCGACCTCTATGTGCAATTTATGGTGAAAAAGTAACATTGTGCAGTAAAACATGGTGCGAGCAGAATGATGCTGTGGGGATGATTTTCTTCAGCAGACACAGAAAGAGGATTAAAATAGACATTTCCTAAAAGATTTGTTGTTTAAATTGCACAACTCAACAAAGTGTTGACAAAAGAGCCTTAGTCCAGATATGTGCCACACATTTTAGATTTTTAGATTGTCTAATTTAAAAATGAGGAAAAACCTGTATCACTTTCCTTCCACTTTATGTTATGTGTAATTTTATATTGTTCTGTCACAAAAAAACCATTTTCTTTTTTTAAAGTCAAAGTTAAAGTCAGTAAAATTGTAATATAAAAAAAATGGGAAACTTTTATAATCGACTGCATACAAGAAAAGGAAATGTAACTTTAATCAGATTTTAACTACTATTTGGACAAGTGGTTTGTGTTTTCAGAGCGTTCATCAAGCTTCGTTTTTCTGGTTATCCTGGATAGTTAACAGATGTTGTAGATCCTCTAGATCCTGATCTCTGCCTCTGTTTTCTTCTCAGTTCTCTCAAACATGTTGCCCTCAGCCATCATCAGATGTCTCTACTTCAGACAAACACAGCAGCCAGGGAGCTCATCAGCCCAACACTGCGGCTGTACAATCCGTTTCAGCAGGACCAGTGCTTGTGAAAGTAAGCTGACTTTCTTGTGTTTCCTGTAAAAACAATAGCAGTGTTTTGAATTTGTTTTTTATCTTGCTTAAAAATAGCCGTTATGTCAATGACCTCTGGTACAGAGTCATGTTTCTTTGATTAACTGACTCTGTCTGTTTTTGTTTTGTTTTTTTTCTTGTTTCCTTTGGAAATGTAATGACGGATAATGTTAGTGCCTGGATTTTATCTTACTGGGAGTCAGAGCAGTTTAAGAGTTGATAAATAATCAGCCATCAAGTCAAACGCAGGTCAGAGAGCAAAACATTTTAGCATATTTTGGCAGTATAGCCATTTAAATCTGACATCTGTAGACTGGTCTTCCTCAATCAGACTTTAAAATCAAAGCTAAAAGTAGAAGGAGAGAGGCAAAAAACAACATGCATTTATCTAAATCTTATTGTACTGTGATCAACAAAAAGAACAGAGTTTGCACGGGAAAATGAAAGAGGAGTAAAGATGACAAAGTGGAGGCTGCATGCTGGTTAAATGTGCCAAGCCTCTGGTTTCTTGTCTTAAATAAGACTTGCAGGCACGCCAAACATTTTCATATGTACTAGTTCCTGAAAGTGCAAGAAGTAAAACAATATGTCATCTTTTTACTACCCATTTCCTCATCCTATCTTGAGATGTCAGAGCAATCATCTGTCTTATCTATCTTCAAACTAAATGCTGTAAAAAGAAGCAGCATTCAGTTTAACTTAGCTTTGCAGTGTTTCCACATTCAGTGCAAACTGTGTTCTTCCTGATATAACTTACTTTGAAATTAAATATCAAAGCATTTATGTTTGCTGAGGCTTTATCTGCTCCTGCTCTGTGTGTTATGCTTTGCAGCAAACATTGGCGAAGCTATCTGCAGACAAATGCCGCAGCAAAAAGAGCAAAGAACTCAAGCCACGGGTTAAAAAGCTGAAGTATCATCAGTACATCCCTCCTGACCAGAAGCAGGAGCTCAGTGAAGTGCCTATGGACTCTTATTATGCTCGTCTCCTGCAGCAGCAGCAGCAGTTCCTGCAGCTCCAGATCCTAAGCCTGCAGCAGCAGAAGTACAACTCCCAAACTGCACCCGTCACACTGAAGTATGGCCCCAATCAGCAGTTAACTGTTAACAAAAAAAAAAAAAATGGTTTCCCTCAAATATCTCCTATTCTATTTTTGAACATCTCGCTACAGCATGTCTACAAATGAGATACAGACCAGCTGCTCAGCTCTTGTTCTTAGAGGAAGCTCTCCATCTGTTCCTGTGCTGTTCCACCATACCAACACAAAGTCGGATCAGTTACCGGCTAATATCGATGAAATGAAGGTGACACAGGCTGATTCTACTAGTCATTTACATGCTACAGACCGGGATAGGCTCCAAGTATTCATCACCTGAAACATGATCTTTATTTTCTTACTCTCACAGGTCGCTGAGCTGAAAATGGAGCTAAAACTCAGATCTCTGCCAGTTTCTGGGACCAAGACAGACCTAATAGAGAGGCTCAAGCTGTTTCATGAGAATACTAAAACCCAGCATGTTGCTTCCATGGAGTCAGGAGTCACCTCAGAAAACTCACAGTCTGAAAGCATACATTTAACGCCGCCTGTTTCCCTTATAGCTTCCAAAGTCTCCAAACTGGGTATAGAAGATATTAAAATGACTGACATTCCTATGAAGTCAGTAGCAGAGGCTTCGTATGATGCTGCTCTGAATTCAAGCCCCTCAAAGGAAACCCAACATGAAGAGGGTCCAACACATCCGAAGGTCAACGAGAAGGACTGTGAAAAAGACAAACGTCTACATGAGAAGGAGCTTCAGATAGAGGAACTGATGAGAAAGCTGGAGCAGGAGCAGAAGCTAGTTGAGGAGCTAAAGATGCAACTGGAGGTGGAAAAAAGAAGCCAACAGAGTGATTCCCCCCCTCATCTCAGCTTGCTGGTACCAATCCAAATAAAAGAGGAAAACAGGAGTCTTTCAAACTGCTCAGTGGCTTGCAGCTCTCCTGGTCTGCATGTGCAGATCAAGCAGGAGGAACCATGCGATCATGGCTTCAGAACCAGTCCAAATCAGTTCGTCATTGGCCACGAGACCAACACAAAGGCTGAAAACCTGCAGTCTGTCCAAGTCCTCCTGCCCACATCCCTTTCTGGCTCAGCAGACACTGTGGAAGTCCCTGCCAAAGGCATTAAATTACACACCGCCGTTAACAACACAGCTCCAGGCTGCATCCAGGGATCTGGACATGAGCCACAGAAATCAGCAGCACCACAGCAGCAACCCAGCACTCACACCCCACATTTGACAGAGGTAGGGGGCACATAGTTTGTCTTTGCTGCATTCAGCCTCGTTCTGTCTTCTTAGTCTCAGTATTCACACTCTGCTGTGGTTTGTGGTTTTAAAATGTTTTTTCCAAATGGCACCAGAAATTCACACGATGACCTCCATAAATATAGAAGCATGCTTTAAGGTTGTGCTGCCAGTTTAACCGCAGGTCATGTTACCAGTCAGTTGTTTGCTACTGTGGAAAACGCAGCTTCTTTGTTCTCACATTTGTGTTTACTCATCTTTAACAAAGTGATGTAATCATTTTGAGCATCAAACATCTAAAAAGTGTGGACATGTTACCAGAAATAATGTGTGCACCATGTTGTTTCCAGTGAGCTCAACAGTTTTATAAGGGAGGTGAAACTGTTTGGGGTTTTTTTGCCGAAAAAAGAATGTTTGACTTCTTTCTTCCACATAACTGTATTTTGTTTGCAATTCAGTACTTTATCAGACATTATCTATAAGGTGTCTAATGTTCTATGCAGACGTGGGGAACAGATACCAAGGGGCAAGGCTTTCTCAGTGCATTCCTGATGTCTGGATGTGAGAGTCCCTCCTCTCAACAAGTTCCACAAGAAGGGCTTAAAACAAAGGTAAAAACAATGTTCTTGTTGCTTTCTTTGAATCATTCTTTATAAGAGTTTATGTATGTATTATTTGTATGGCTTTACGAGAATTTAATGTAGGTTTTATAGCAGTTAAAACACAAAATATGAATCATTTGGCTAACTGCTTACAGCGGTATGCTGTTCAGAGTGAAAAAAAGTAATCAGTCACTTGAAATTAGTACATAATTTCTAAAGTTAATCTGCATGTTCAGTCAATGGTAATAGGGTTCTCTTTGGGCAAAGCATAGAAATCTTATTTTGGAAAGTAAGCTTGTAAGAAAAAAGGAAACAACAAACTGGAAAAAAAACAGGCAAAAAGAAAAAAAAACCTGGGCAAGCCCCCAAAAAATTAAAAAAAAACAAGGAAAAGGGTGGGCAAAAGCAATTTCCTTTACTTTTTTAAGTGGAGAGGGCGGGTCTTTTCAAACATTTGCAAAAATCCTCCAATATAACTTTAATTTGGTCACATAATTCCTTTCTTTAACTAAAGGCTTGCTCAGGGCACCTTTTGCATCAGAACCACTATAGTTGATGCTTATTTCTCATCTGGTCTTGTCTTCGGTTTCTTTGTGTGAAATCTTTTCCAAACCCACCCACTGTTATTTTGCAGCAAACAGCTTTTACAAATCACACATCAAAGCCCAAAGACCCACCTCGTTATGAGGATGCAGTTAAACAGAGACGCAGCATGATAACAACTGCTCAGGTGAAAAAAGAAATTCTAGTAAATCATTTAAACTTATCTAGAAATAATTTATACATTAGATCACCTTCTAATTTATTACAGGGTCCGACAGCAGCATGTCAGCAGATGGATGACCTATTCGACGTGTTGATTGAAAGTGGAGGTAAGAGAGGCTTTAATTGCATTTTGGAACAGTTATCATAGAAGAAAAATGATGATTTCCTCTGAATGTGCTGTTCTCTTGTTTTTACAGAGATCTCACCTCTCATCAGGCAGGATCCTTCCAGCCTGGAAAAGCCTCTCCCTGTCACAGCCAGCGTTACCGCCCTTCCCATCAACACAGTTCTGACCCGTCCTCCACCTTTAGTCCAGGTGGCTCAGCTGCCTGGAGTACCGCTCCTCTCACCAGGAAACAACCTGGAAACCCTTGCAGATGATACGGAGGTTCGGAGTCTGAAGCTGATGGAGGACTTGAACTCACCTTTGGTCCACATGGAGCTGAACTTCAGTGAAAGCATGCCACCCTCTGGTGTGAACCTGCAAAACACTTCTGTGGACAGTATGGATTGGCTGGACCTCACCCTCTCTGTGCCTGATGATGGGATTAACCCTTTGGACATGTCAGTGCATGGGGCCGTCTTCTCTTCTGACTTCCTGGATTCTCACTTGAACTGGGACTGAGTAACCAAAGAGTGAATGTGGACTTTATCTTTTTTTTTTTTTTTATAAACAGAGGTTGACGAACTGCACTTCTTGCAGTCTGTAAAAGCTATAAATATTTGAGGAGAAAATTTAAAATGGTACCGATATTTTAAACATTTCCATCTCATGCCATACAATTGCTCTCCTTTCCTCTTCACACAAGCATTTTCCTTTGCTCTGCAGCCTCTGTAATGCAGTATGCATTGTCTCAGCACGCAGAAGAGAAAAATAAAATACACTAATCCTGGTAACAGATGGAAAAGAGCTGCATTTAGCCATTGTGCTGTTTACTCCACCCTATGTCGGAATGATTATCACAGGCATAAATCCGGCATTTAACCAAAGAAGTGAAAGTCTGATTGCACTGCAGAGGCCCAACAACCCAGAACATACCCAACAGTGTTTATTACACAATACTTTGTAAACATCACTTCACCAATGCGGCCTTTAGTTCCAGAGTTTAGTGACACATTCCTGCATAAATCAAATGTTGGGCAACCAAACTAACCAAACTTCATGCGCTTAAGTTTGTCAAACTAACTTTTAATCATCTTTTTTTTATTATTATTGTTTTGTTATTTTTTTTAAATAGCAAACAACATCATAAAATGGATGACTCCCAGTTAAGCAGGAAAGTGTTCCAGTTACATCTGCTCGCTGTGTTGTTTGCTATTATTGGCAACCTTGATCTGGGTGTGAGTTTAGATGAGGAAATGCAAGAGAGATTTGTTTTGCGGTATTCTAATTTGTTATGTGTTGAGTCTCAGAGTTCTCTGGAAAATATCTGGAATATCTATGACAAACGTTTTATTTGTTAAAGAAAATCTCAGAAGAAAACTTTTGCTGTCTTAAGTCGACTCATTAGTTCCAAATCTGTCACCTTCAAAAGAAAGACGCACTAATGTGGTGGAAAGCTGAATAAAACCTCATAAGTCAGCTGTAACCCACACACAAAAAAACAAACATTGCAGTCTTTATAGTTTGTGTTGTATGATGTATTTATGTTATTTTTATAAAGTCATCACAGGTTTGCTTTTGTAAAGACAGAAATGCGTTCGAGTAATAAAATCCAAACTTTGAATATTTCAGTCATAAGATAAGCTACAGAAGGCAAGTCACCTCTGATGTTTGTTGAACAAATAGCTCATTACATTCATACCCACTGCTAGAAACAACTTTTGCAGAAGTTATTTTTTTATGAAAATTCTACAAAAATCCAACCTTTAATTGAGTTATAGCTATTCATTCAGTGAGGGCAATATTTCCCTGTCTGCCCTGCTGCCTGTACCAATCCTACTTTGCATATAAGACACTGGTCATCTTCTCCCATAACATTTTACTAAGAGAGTACAGAAGAGTATACAGAGTACATAAATAAAGATTTATTAGCCTTTATTAGCCTTGGCTAACATCCTGTCCTGAGATCTCTCTTGCCGTGGATCATGGCACACAAGATGATGGCCAGTTTTTGTTTACTGGCAGGGTTACCAGACTTTTATTTAAAATAAGCTGTTATTTTGAAAAAATATTTTTAAATGAAGCAATCACATCATCATATATCCTATTAGTGAGGGCACAAGGCTTTTCCCAAATTCCTTGTTATTCCTTGTTACAATCAAAGCCCACCTGGAGTATTTGTTGTTGGAAAACTGAATTTCTATTCCTCTAATCCTGACATTATTCCCTCAGGGGTGGTTGGGATGTTTACATTTTCAACTTCTTAGGAAACTTGGCGACCCCCATGATGCCACATTTTTCCTCCAACAGTGATCTTAGGAAATGTCTTTACCTCTCTTACTAAACCTTTTCATTGTCCAAAATGGTAAGATAATCAAGGGTCTCCTTTGGCAGCAGCTAAAAAAAGGCCTCTTTTTCATACTACATTAAATGCTCTAAAGAAACAGAAAGTTAAGGATTACTAATTAGAAGTTGTTGGACTCTAACAGCTTTGCTGCCAGACTGTGTAATTATTTCTAAATACCCCCCGCTGGATTTCCCCTCTGGAAAAATGAACTCAAATTAAAGGTTGAACTCTTGTTTTTGTTTTTTGTTTTTACAAAGTGAATAACAATAATAGATCAATTCATTTGAAGGCTTTTTACATCCTTACCATTCAAGCCAACAGTATTATCAAGGATCTGAACCTTCAAAAAGTTCAATAAATTCAGAGATACAGTTGAAATAAGTGGATCTCTTGTGCTACATTCCTCAACATACAGATGTCCAATGCATCCTGAAAGTATCCACATTACTGCACTTTTGCTATGTTTAGTTATGTTACAGCCTTATTCCAGTGGGCATTAAAATAATCTCTATTGGTAGTACCTGATTATGACAATGAATAATATTTATATATATGTATTTTTTTTTTGTTGTTGATTACAAGTAGAAATAATATTTATTGATATAAATATTTTACAGCCTTTACTATGAGGCTCAAATTTGTATTATCTTTGAGATTATTTTACAGCCTAAATTGAGTCCACCTGTAATAGTCGGATAGCAAAGCCACACGACTGTCTATCTAAGGCTCCAGAAGTCACAAGTGTCTCAGAGCACACACACAGCAAGCATGAAGTCCAAGGAATAGTCTGTAAACCTCAGAGGCAGGATTCTCTTGAGGCAATGTTCATCACCAGACAAATGCTATCCCCATGGTCAAGAATGGTGATGGCAGCATTATAGTTTTTTTTTTTTCTTACTGTCAGAAACTGGCAAACTAGTCAGGATAGGGGAAAAAATTAATGCAGCAGTGTACAGCGACATCTTAGATCACTGTGCCGACAGACTTTCAGCAGGAAAATAAACCAAAGCAGACAGCCAAGATCCAATTCAATATGGAACAGATACATCCTTCCTGATGAAGAAGAATGAGTAAAACTTCCTGAAAATAGATCTGCTAAGCTTGTGCCACCTTGAAAAAGACTCATGGCTCAATTTGCTAACAAAGGTGATTCAACAAGGTATTCATAGGAAGGCCTATGAATAGCTATACATAGGAGTTCTGAGGAAAGTCATCAATAAAAGAATATCTGGAATAAGGCTCTACTGTACATGTGGTCAATTGTGCAGCAAAGTTAATACTCCCCTGTTGCATTGTACAGTAATACTACAACTAATTTCTTATTACTATTTGTTTATCTTTCAAAGTCAAGGACATTTAAAATGGTGTCAAATGATATCCTTGTAAAATTGTCCTAAACGCAAAAAATAGGCCATTGCTACGTCTAACCAACATTTTTGGCACATTGTCATTAGCAGCAGTTCACAAAGACACAATTGGTCTACAGTTTTTTTTCTGAATAAAAACAATAAAAGGAAAACATTTTGACAGAGAATATGTTACTATCAGCAAGCTGAAATTATTGAAAAGAACATTTTTAAAATGCTTCACCAACTACTGCTAAAGAGCTTTTTGAAGTGGAATTTCTTAATACCTAAAATATAAATTTTACAAATCTACTATGTAACAAATATACAAGCAAACATCTACTGAACCTATAAAAATATGCTTCTTTAAATCCATTCAGCTGAGATTTATATTTAGAGTTCATAAAAATAAATCTTTAGACATGGATTTTCAGCATAGCCTGCATGATAGAGGTTGATGCTGCAAACTAGACTCCTTTGCAGATCCTCTCAGCAGTTTCTAAATCACCAGTGACCATTGGTCCAGTGCTTTCGCAGTTTAAACTGCAGCTGCTCACCGCCTGCATCTCCTCTCAGAGCTTCTTGATGATCCTGATATTTGACCGACACTTTGGACATCTGTGTGTGGTGGACTTGAATCTTTTCATGCAGAAAGGAAGGAGGCAGCAACCGGCCACGCAGCTGCAAAAATGAGAGCAAAACAAAAACTGCAGATGACAACAAAAGTGGAAGTGGCTGAGCAAACAGGAACAGGCTCAGCAAAATCTAATTATGTGCTTAGGCAAATATTTCACCAACAACCCAAATGGAAGGGAAAGTGCATACCCTATCAAAGCCATCATAAAACAAACAAGCCAGGTCACACTACTGACGGAAGACAACGTTTCTGTTATGACAAACTGTTTGCACTCTGGGCACTGTGTCCTGGCAGATTCTGTAGGAAGATCTCCAACATCCAGAATAACTTCTGGGGCTGTAAGAATACAAACAAATTTATAAAATGTGTCTCTTTTATTTTTAACCATGATCAAATACACAGCAGAACTGTAGTCGTTAGAAATCATTCCCCAATATCACATCTGCACTTGGTCCATATAATTGTGCCTTGCTTTGCAGCCTCTCCAACGAGTATTTTCGGAGGCTTGCTGACTCACCAGGGTAAGCAGGAGGAGGTTCAACAAAGAAAATTTTAGTTTCAGGAACGTCAACATTAGTATTCTTGTTAGAACTGCACTGTATATCTGACACAAAATAAAAAACAAAATTAGTTACAAGACTCAAGCATGAAAAACGTTGCACTCGGTTTGGGACACTCACCGTGCTCACCGCTGTTGTGTTTATTATCTTTTGCATTTAAGATATTGTCACAGTTATTTTGGAGATCAGCCTTCTTTGTCCTCAGCTCTCTCAGTCTACTGTCAATGTAATTGATCTCTTTTTCCGTAGCAGCTGCTTCCTCTGTTAAGAAAACAACAGTGAGGAACATTCAAAGAACATATGTCAATGACTTTAGAAGATTCATTTGCTGGGATTCCACTACTCTTACCTGTCTGTCCAAATTCAGCCCGATTCCTCAGCTCCTGGAATACACACAAGATTTTCCTTCTGTCCTCAAGCTGTTGAATCTTTAGTGAAATCTCCTTCAGGTCCACAGATATGTTGTCCACCTCATCAAGTGAAGAATTCATGGCGGCAGCTGAAAGATTGGCAGACAATGTGAGCAATTAATGCTTTTGTTCTTTGCAGATAGTGCCTTCCACTGTGGACCTTAAAAGCCTAAAAAGAAAGACCTCATTTTTCTGATTTTACTTCTCTGTAAGTTTATAGTTTGACAAGCATTGAGTTTGAGATTCTTTAGGCTACTTCGGTTCTATATGTTCTAAGTGAAGCTTATCATTTTACAGGTTTTTCTCTATTCAGGCCTGGGTGTCACTTGTTAA